ATTTAACTAACTTTTTAGGAAATTGTTCCATTGCTCCTTCCCGTGGATGTATTTGGGACAAATTCTTCCATTCTTTCAACTGATGTATGTAGGGGCTGTGAATTTGTAGGCAAAGATGATATTCTCCTTCTTCTGTGCTGTTTCCTCATTTCTCTTTCTTCCCTTGTTCAATCATATCCAGAGGTCCTTCTTGGCGGCAATTATAGAACCTCTTGAAGAAAGGAGGGATGTGCCAAAACCCTCTCAGGAGCTGTTTTTCAGAGAGTTCTCCAAGGAAGATCAATGTCAGGAAATCTCAGGAGGTAATAGCAGATCCTTCCAAGTAATCTGAAGTTCACCAGAGAGATTCCAGTTCTCTCTCATTCTCTTGATCCTCTTATATGTAATACCTCTCTGTATTTGTGAAGTTCTTAAAAAGGATGCTTCCACCATTTTGTTTCCCTTACAGGGAATACTACAATGGCATTGTCATTTGTAGGATCATCTCTTTTTGGTGGATGTGAAAGAGCAGTGGAATCTCCAGCTCAGGTAGGAGGAGATAGATTAGAGAAGACGCAGAGGCCATTTCGAACCCTCCTCTATTTTGTCCTTGGGCTCAATATATAATATTGCTGTTCCTCAGCAAGACAATAACAAAATTCAGTTACAAGCACATCAGTGTACCTCCAAAGGCAGAAAATCTACACTGAGGGATACTTCTTAGAAGCCTTATTATTTTCTCTTCTGTATACAGTAACTAATATAAAACATTCCTTCAAGAAACAAACCAACAAAAAGTCAATGAACACCAGATGACATTTAAAAGAAGGACCTGCTCTCCTAGTTATTCACTTATATCAATCTTGTCTTTCCAAATGTTTGTATTGTACAGAGCTGCTCAAAACTGGTTAAAGAAAAAAAAGTATCAGGAGATAAAAGTAAAAGTATATATGTAAAAATCTTTAAAATGCCAGGTGATGTGGTAAAAAGACTAAAATTTATTTATTTATTTCAAATTTAGATACGCCCATCTCATGAAAAAGTGACTCTGGGCAGTTCACAATGAAACAACAATAAATATTAATTAAAATACAATAAAAACAATATAAAATACAGTAAAAAAATAAAACCAAACACAGGATTTTCCTAGGCTATAAAACAGATCTAATGGATATGGGCAGATACAAAATTCTAAATAAAAGAATTGTTTGTAATAAAGCTACTTTGGGCTTGCAACCTGAGATGTTCCAGGATTTAGATGTAGAGGTATTTTTTGGGTCCCCCCCCAAAAATAAATCCCAGCTGTGGAATTAAAATATGTGATAATTCAAAAGGAGTAAAAAGAAGCAGCTCAAATTCAAGGTCAGTGCTGCAAGAAAAAAAATCTGAAGTAATGGGTGATTATTCTTATTGTAGTTGAATTCTTAACAATGATTCAGCTTTGAGGCTATGATTTAGGCACATCTCCACTTAGTAATTTTTTTCTTACATCTTTAATTTTTTCTCTCTGTTTGTCTCCTGGTTTTGATTCACTTGTGTTAGTCCTTGATTTG